TGGGGGGACGGAACCCCCGGGGCGGTCTCGCGACGCTGAGGCGGCCCCGGCGCTGTCCGTTACTGCGGGCCTGAGGGCACGAACGCGCCTCGTGTGCCGCCGGCTAAGGGGTGCCATCGCACACCAGCATGGCCCGTGGCAGGCTTCACACCTTCGCCAGGCTCGGTCGAGGGTTCAGACGCGGGTCTGATAATGCATCATCCCAAAATAAGGGTTATGTAGTGTTAGCGCTGGCCGTGCTGCGAGCCTTGTGAGTGGCAAGTGGCCCCGAGCTGGCAGAAGCCCCCAAGGCGGCTGCGGATGTGGCGCCCAGCCCCCGGCAGCCTGGCTCTGCAAAGGGAGGACCTGCACCTCGCCTCCAGCACCTGCGAAACCGTGGGCTCGATTTACAGTTTCATTTGAAAGGAAGTAGGGTGATGGTGTAAATCGCAGTGAATCCTCTGCTCTTGTCATGTGCCAAAAAAAAAAAAAAAAAAGTCTTCAGCTTTTACTGGAGAGAGGGTGATTTCCTGCTAAAGACAGGCACAGGAACTCTGGGATCTGACCCATCTAAAACTCACCTGAAATTTCACTGGTCTTTTTGTAGGAATGAGCAGGTTTGCTAAGATGCAGCTGAGAATCCTGCTTTTTGCAGAAATAATAATTTGTTAACTACGTGAATATCTTGATTTCACTTTCACCTTTACATAATAGTATCTTTATCTTCCTCTGACGTGTTTCTCACGGCAGAACCCATGTTTATCCTCCGGTCCAAACAGACTGTACTTATCCACGAGATCTGAGTCCCAGAGTTGCTTTTCTTGACATGAGCTGTGACTTTCAGGAGACATCACCTGAAACTCTTTCTCCACCACAATCCTTTCAGCACCATGACCAGTACCCTCACCCTAAGAACAAGAAGCATGTGCACTTTACAGAACTGCTAAGGACTTAAAAATAATAATATACATATAGAGGAAATAATTGCAAAATAAAAAGCCTAGACTGCATCAAATAAAAATGTGCTGTGTTTGGCAGCCATCCAGGTTTCCGAGTTATTCCAGGTCTGGTAGACTGAGTTGCTGAGTACACAGATCTCCAGGAGAAGCCAAGGGCTCAGCATCTGTGCAAGTCCGGTCTCTTAGCTTCCGGATCAAAGAACAAATCCTCTCTCTAGGTCTCCTCTGCACTTTTAACCTCACAAAATCTTCCCCTACACACTAATAGTTTCACACAATGCTCATGCTCCGGAATAGTGTAAATTGCAAATAATGCATGGCAAAACAAGTATTAAATTATCATAAGTGTAAAATTGTACCTAGAGTCCTCAATAAATTGCAATATAAATATAACATTAATGGATTACTTCAGCTGCAAACATAATTCTGATTGTGGATTTTTTTAATGTAAACCACGAATATTTTATTCTTAATTTGAAACAGAAATATACTAAAACCATTTTCTTACATTATGGCATATTTTTGTGGTACTTTTCTCTACAAAAAAAAAAAAAGCCAATCAGGGTAGGTTCTGAAGGCTCCTTTTATCTTATTCCATAATCTATTGCCACACAAACAAAGAAGCAATCAACTGTTCTGTAATTTAATTGTTCAGGAGATTTGTGGAGTCAAGGTCACCTCGAGATCCAAAATCCAAGGATCCGTTTCATTGGATATGCTCTTTTTCTCCCAGTGTTGCAGAACAGGGAATACCAGTTGTGGTAAGCAGGTAGAAGTCTCAATGTGCCACACATTACAGCACTTCCAACACAAACACACACCTCTTCTTCACAGAACTTGGGGGACATGGAAAGAAAGTCAAGAACATAAAATCACTAAAATATATCCAAATTACATGTTTAATAAACAATGCACTCTCTTCCCCCTTTTCTCACCACTATTTGACAAATTTCTACCATGCAGTAAGTCAGAAAGTGGCTGGGTTTTACTCAGACAGCATTTTAAGACCGGCTGAAAGCTGTGTGTAAATTGGATCCTATCTTTGTCACAGCATTCCGTGCCAGCTTCCCTAGTGACTTAATTACAGATGCTGTGCCCTTTGTCAACAGCCTCTGATCACCCGCTTTATCTGCCTCATCTGCTGGGAAACATTCGCTTTGGATAAGCCTGTATGGCCTGTTAGACTGTGATAAAGGCACCAATACTCACTTTCCATGCTAGGATGTATCTTAGTGAATACTGATTTATATGCTACATTTCCGGTTGGAAAGGTGGGTTGATTAATCCAGAGATCTTTGCACAGAGCTTTAACAATGAAGAATTAAGGGAAGTTAATGCAGCCAACTTCCTAAGAGGCTTAATTATAAATGTTGTGTGGTGTGCAAGTGCAAGAGCAGATAGGTGTTAGCTAGTGAATGTGTCTTCTGAAATTACTTGTGTGAATGTAATATGAACCTGAAGAATTAGGGGATAAACATCATCTTGGAAACATAGAACAATATTCCAAATTAGGAAACAGCAAGAGAAAGTGGTTTGCTGTGAACAATTGAATTGTTTCCAATTCCTAATCTCCAGCTAAACACCACTCGAAAATTAAACATAACACTCATGTACCAGTAGATTAAAGAAATTGGCCATAGCTCCATCTGCTTAACTTGTCAAATGAAACTTCTCTTCCCATTTATCACTTAAAATGTATTTGCTTAGTTGTAATACTTAGTGTATTTTCTCTCACTGGTTAGGCAGTCTGTTGAAAATTACTGATTGTTTCCAGTGTGCCTGTGGAAATGAGGAGCTGCTGAGTGTCTCAATCTTGCGCACAGTCAGGCCCATAGTGATCAGAACAGCAGCCCATCATGGGAAAGAAAGGACATGAGAACATAAACAATGACAAATATAACCAATGACACTAAAAATGACAGAAAATTAAACAAAGTGGGTGCAAATATAAAGGCACAGTAGAGCCATGATTGCCAGTCAGAAAAACAGCTGAGTAGGAGTTTGCAGTTTAAGAAACCTCTGAAACTGCATACATTATGTTTAGATTAGATGGAGAAGAGTTTCATAACTAACAAAGACTACTGCAATTATGCTATGGGCAGGTCAACACCATAAGAAAACATATGTTCTCACTGAAGGTAATGGGAAAAAAAAATCCTTTATACTTCATGGAACCACAATAATTTAAAAAATCACAGATCATCATCTAAACAGCTCTCCGTTACTGGGTTTGTGATTGTGAAAGGATGATTTTTTTCTCCATTATTGTGTATTACAGGTTACTGGTGAATGCAGCACAGTACAGAGCGTTATCTGATTTAGCTGGGAACACTACCTGCACGTCCAAGGTGATTCACATGCTCCCTGCTATGCCCATACTGCTCCCATGCCAGGTGGCCTAGGCTTGTTGTGAGCAGAAGATGAGGCAATATTCTCCTCCTTTGCTCCTCCTTGCCTCCTGACTACAGCCCCCGTACCACCAGGGCAGGCAGGGCTCTCCACATCATTTCAATCTGAAACATGAGACACAAGTAGGAGTTAGTACCATGCTGTTAGGGGGTTAGATAACAATTCTGCTGCTTCTGAGCCCACAGTGTGGTTTCTCCTGCAGCCTTATGAAACCCCTGTGAAGAGCTTGGTTGGCCTCGAGCTGCCTTTCCTTGAGGCTTCCTTGGGGGAAGGGCATACAGAACTTTCTGGAAGCTGCCTGCCTGAGCCCTGGAGGCAAGGCCTAGGTCTGCCAATGGCAAAGGCAGCCATTTGCTGGGGAAGGGGCTTCAGCCCTGCTGGCGATGGCCCTGGAGACACCTTACACGTTCAATGCTTGATGAACGCCAAGTGCCCACTGGGGCTATCAGTTCCCATCACGGCTTTTCACTGTGGCCGACCGGGACCCCGCAAGTTTCACTGACAGGGCAGCTGCCCGAGGTGGTCAGTGACCGTCCCCACTCCTCAGGACCCAGCAAGAAGCGCAGAGAGGACGGGGAGGGGCGGTCAGCAGGGGACTGCGGGGGACAGGTGCCTCGATGGGGCTGAGGGGACGGGTATGCTGAGGCGGATGGATGCATCGATGGGACTGTGAGCAGGACGAGCTGAGGGGAAACGGCGCCTCGATGGAGCTGCGGGCTGAGAGAAGCGGGCGCCTCAGGAGCGCTGCAGGAATTAGGTCTGAGCGCGCTGGGCACAGGCGGCAGCGACTCTCCGGCTCCAGGCAGGGCTGGCGGGGGCGGAGGCGGCGGGAGCGTCAGCAGCCTGCGACCAAGGCGGAAGGAGGCGCTGGGCGGGCTCCGCGTGTGAGGAGAGCCGGGCCGGGCCGGGCCAGGCCGGGCCGGTCCTGGGGAGGTAAACGGCTCGGGGTACGGGGAGAACCGGTGCCGTCCCCGCGGGGACACGGGGCGCTGGGGCGAAGGCGTTCCTCCCCCGCGGAGCCGCCGCCCGGGGCCCTTATGGGTTAACGCTGCTCTCCCGCGGGCGAATGCCGCCTCTCACCCCTTCCCTGCCCAGTCCGTGCTTCTCACCTGCCCGCAGCTGAGGTTCCCGGCTCCGCTGGGACGGGCTGATGCGCTGCTGCGGTCCAGGAGCCGCATTACCGCCCTCGGGATACGCACGGGGGCTGAGGGGAGTCCTGGCAGCGGGGTCAGCGCTGAGCGGGAGCGGCTCCCGAGCCCGCGTGTGCCTGGGCGGAGAGGGGGCTGTGCCCGCCTCGTCTGCGGGAGGTTCCCCTGCCCCCGTGCCAGGCAGCCGGGCTTCGGGAGGGGGAAGGGGCAGCCTGCCAGGTCTCTGTGGGAGCTGGTCAGGAAAGAGAGATGAGTGTCTGGGTTGTAATTGAAGCCAAAACAGAATCATGTTAGTGGTTTTATTTGTGAGCTGCGAGGGATCGCCTGGGGCGTTGGGTTTAGGTCGCTGCAGCCGTGGCAGATCCAGAGAAGAGTCCTGATCCGGTGTCGGAGTCACCGCCTCAGTTTCCCGGCACTGCCATCTCCCAGCGCAATCCCCCTGCACCTTGTGGCAACAGCGGTGCTGCCCCAATGCTCTGCGTGCTGCCCCGGGGGAAAGTGCGGGAGCCTCTGCACTGCCAGGGAACGGAAAATACTGCAAGTAGTAGCTCAGTGTGCTCCTTGACAAGGGGGCAAGGCAAAGAAACTTCCAAAATTCCTCACAGACGCCAATTTTACCCCAAATATACGAATATAATGTGGCAGGGGAGGTCTGAGCCTGAGAGATGTGTAACTTGGGATGTCAGCGTGCACTGACAGAGATGGACTTGGTGATTTAAAGGTCCCTTCTAGCCTTGATGATTCTGTGATTCACTGCTGTGACTGCTAGCTGTGCTAAGTGTAGTGGCTCAAAGGAAGGCAAGGAAGCTGGGAGCCAGTTGGTGTAATCAAAGGGAGAGGAGTTCGCTCAGTGTTCCTGCAGGCTTGCTATAGGATTCTTTTTCACATGGGTGTAACTGCAGTAAATACTGTGAAAGAAATGTATTCCTTTCGAGGTCCTTTCAAATGACACTTGTGAGAGCTGAAAACTGCACTGCATTAAAAGTATCTGGAATGAGAACTATAAGTATCATTTATGAAAGATGAGGACATGAACATAATCATAAGGTGGAACCTATAAAAGACAGCATTTGTTCTATCTCATAAAGTCCTTCATGTATACATTTCTGAATTAATGGGATGCCCTTCCTACTATTTCACCAGATGTCCAGACAAGCCTCTTCTGCCTTGGCATCTGAACACCTTATGCAATAAGCATGTCATAAGCTTTGGAAGTTTCAGCCACAAGCACATCTGTTTATCAACCTCAGTGAATGCAGTGGAAAAATTCTAAATCTAGCTGCTTAACAGCAAATTGAGCTACACAGAGTTTCCAGGGAGGAACCAGACTACAGACACCAGACTACACTTAGAGAACGAAAGGTTTTAAATTAAAATGATAAAGCAGGACCAGACTCTTAAGCATTCAACACAGAAGTGCTGGAATTCAGCAATTATTTTGAAACTAAAAGTTACACTGCTTTTGATTCTGCCAGGGTGTACCATACTTTCAAAGCCTTCTGTTATAGGCTTAAATTTCTAACTTTGGGATCCCTATTACTTCATTAAACAACTCTTGCATATACTAATCAACCTGCAGCTTAGACAGTTAGCTGCTTTATCTGAATAGCAATGTCATGTTTCATTGTAAGCCGCCTTCTGATTTCTAGATTGTCTTCTCAAGGCCATCAAAATTTAATTGTAATTCTCTAAAACAGCTCTGAGACCATGGGGCTGAAGTGATTCGATGGTTGGCATTAGCTTGCCAAATGGTTGTTTACATTTAGCTGCAGCAGAGATCACTTCCCAGACAATTACTTTGCACCCCCAGTGGCAAATTAAAGTCCACAATATTATTTTTTTTTTCCATGTAGTTAGTCAAGTTTATGCATAAATTAATGTCCTTAGCCTATCTCTAAACGTTCATTTGGAAAAGTTTCAAGTATACTTTTGTTAGTCATCCTAATAGCTGGTGATTGAGATCCGGGCAAGTAGCAGAATGTCTTTATGTTGTAAATCACCAAGAAATAAGCAAGAAGATGGGAATGTAAGTTATAACTTAAAAACATGCTCTGAGTGCTCAGGAACTGTAATTGAGTAGGGTGCTGAAATTGGTACTAACCTGCAGTAGCATTGTGGAGCAGGCTGAGTAAATGATAATGTATTTCCCAATTTTTCTTTAAAAGTTACCATAAGCCAAGAAAAATACTTGTTGTTTTCAAATCTGTAGGATCCTTCATTGATTGCAGTTGGATCAAGAGTACAGCAGAAGACTGGTCCCTGAACATTCTAGAGCTTGCTTGCTGGCATCTTATTTACACGGTGTGCTTTTGTTCTGTATTGGAGAAAATAAAATCACTTGGTTTTATGTCTGTAGGTTCAGCTCCGTCGTGGTCCTGTGAAACTCTCCTGACATATTTGTTCTTCTCTAGGTGACAATCATCAGCCAGCTACAAGATTGCCATCATGAGTTTTGTTGAATATGGAGATACAATAAAGGATGGTGACACAGCTATTGTGTTCCTGGGCCACGAGTCCATGTTTCCTGTGAAAGTCCAGCATGGCACTGTAACACAGACTAAGTATGGGGTCATCAGGCATTCCACAGACCTCATAGGCAAGAAGTATGGCTCCAAAGTGACCTGCAGTAAAGGAGGATGGGTGTTCATTCTTCATCCAACTCCAGAACTGTGGACCATGAATCTCCCACACAGGACGCAGATTCTGTATTCCACTGACATCTCTATAATCACCATGATGCTGGAACTGAAGCCAGGCTCCATAGTATGTGAATCAGGTAATAATTGCTATGTTGAAATCCTTTATGAGGAACTAACACCAACACTTTCATGAAAAAACAGGGTTTTCTTTATATTTTGCAAAAAGTTGCACTTTTTTTCTGCTGTGATACAATTTTCCCTGCCCACATGTTGAAGAATTCTATATCTTGTGCACATGTTATCAGCTGCTGTTTCTTCAAAAATTCGTGCTACCTTGGAGTGCAGCCTTATGTATGTGGGTATACCTCTGAGCATGCGTTTGGTTAATTCATCTTCTTAGAACAAATACGTAAACATTTTCATTCCCATTTTCTAAAACTGTTGTTAAGTACTTAAAGAATGTTTCTAAATACATTATTTAAACCAAGATTCAGGCTTTGAATTTGCGGTTTCAGAGGACTTAGTTGAGATAACCTGGTGGAAGAGACTGGTGACAGGGTGTTGAACTAATAAGAGAAATAAATTGGCAGTATTTATATATGGTACCATGTAAGTACATAAATTTCATTCTTTTCCCAAGTGTAATCTACTTGTAGCACCACAACTTCATACAAAATCACTGATTAAATACAATGGATGATGTGTTCATCACAGGGCTGTGTTTTATTTCTAAACTTGGTTTAATTTATTACAGCTTGCATGATTTTGCTTAATTTGGAAGTAAGGAGTACAAATTTACATAAAGGTTTTCTTGGTTACATAGAGTTTGTAATAATGTCTTCATAACTTTATTACTACAGTATGAGGCAATATGAGGTTTGCTTGATTTGAGTGAATCTCTGTAGTTTGGAGAAATAACAACTGAGGTTGTCCTTGTTTTTTCTGCCTATTTGAGCATTTTTATGAAGCAGTTTCATACATTTCCCTCTCAAGCATAGATATGGCAAAGGATCAGCATGACAGGACTGTGATGCACTGTACTTTCTTGCCTTTACCATTTCCTGTTCCCACTCATGCATAATTTTGGGCAGCTTTTCAGGCATAATGACCACTTTCTAACACAGCTGAAACAGCACTTATCTCTGCACCCAGTTTCACCCGTTAAGAACAAGGCACTGCATTTAGCTTGTTGCTGTACAGCAGCACTTGAAGCAGGCAAAGCTCTGTGCAGAAGCCTCTGATACTGTGAACATAGTTGGGTCTTGTGAGTTTGTAATTTGGTTTGTAGGGTGATTAGACGTTTTTAGTTTTATCATGGGTAGTTTCTGTATTCATCAGCTCTTCCTCTCCCTGCTATGTTTAGACAGGATGGGAAAAATAAACAACAGATTATTTGGGGGGTGGGAGGTGGGGAGAGATTTGAATTGCTCCATGTCCTGTCTCACTTGGACTAGTCAAATATACAGAGCTGTACATAAAACATTTTCAATAATGTCAAAGGTGCCTAGAGAAAATGAAAATGTTTAATCTCTTTCTTATCTAAACAGCTAAGAAATGGAAACACTCGATTTCCAAAAATGTTGCGAGTCAAAAGTCATAGCCACAAATCAATCCTTTTTGCTAAGGGGAAACTGTCCCCAGGTCCATTTTAATGCTTGTGCTACCAATATATTGCAATTTCAGCTTTCCAGGCAAAGTGAACAGTTTTATTGCTGTAGTTACGCTTGTATTGCTTGCAAGTTTCACTTTTCACAAAGAAAAGAAAGAATACTGCAACAAATCCATCTGGCTAACCTTGGAGCAAGAGACCCTACTGCAGATTTACTTTGAATTAAAAACTTGACAGGTATTGACAACTAGAGCATCCAGTGTGGTGATGTAGCCTACTTTGGTGTCATCCTAAATTCGATGGTATTTGGTGATCCAAAATCATTAGCTCTAGATTAACCTTGTGTGGGCTAGACAGAACCAGCCCAATGGTGATGAGTAGAAACAAGACAGGAAATCTGGCTTAGTAAAACTTGAGTCTGCTTCCTGATGATGCTGAGTTTAGGTGTATTTTAAGCGTTACTTAACACAGAGGTCTGTTTTTTTTATTATTTGAACTTATATACACGGTTGCTGTATGGACTGGCAAAGCAGGCTCTGTAAAAAAAGGTGGGCTCTTTTCCTCTTGTCTTACTAACTCACTGTAGAAGTGTGTCCTGTATTTAGCCATTGTAAGTTAGCAGAATTTTGAATTAGTTTCCACAACTGTGAGAATAAATGATAGAAAAAGTAAGATTAAATACCCTCTGTGTGGTGTTGAAATGCTGTGAGTATAAATGATCTTATGCATGTGATTATAAAAATGGAGTAGAATAACCAGAAGGATTAATTTTATGTCAGTTCTGTTGTATAGTTTAAATTGATTAGTCATTATTTGTCCTAAAAGATACGAACATATTAATACAGTTTTTACTATGTTTAATCATCTTTAATAAATACATAAAGAGCAAGCTTGTCAGCAGCACATGCATAATTAAAATGCCCCAGGCATACTCTGTTGAGGAGGCTATAAGAAGACTCTGCATCTACCTGATGTTTCATGACAGAGGTGTAGGAATATGATCCTTTTTCTGTCTTCTGCTAATTTCTAATTTATAAAGGTATGTTGAGTTTTAAAACTGTTAGCCCTTACTAGAGCTAAGATCTTTTTAAAAATTGGTCTCTGCTCTGAGAAATTCCCCACTTGGATACAGTTTTTAACAGCCCTATCTTTCCAAAATTATGGTACTCAGAATAGCTGCTTTAACACCTGCTGTGAGTGGCCCAATATGAAAGTTTCATTCTTGTCAGGTAACTAATAATCCCATTTATGTTGACTGCATGTGCAGCAATGCCTAGATAAAGGAAAAGGCTAATTTTTTCTCTTTTGTCTCACCCCACTCTCCAAATCTAATCTTGATGTCAACTTCGCAGGCTAGGCTCCCTGTAGGATAATAATTCTATTTGACAACTGATTTTGAGGGGTTTACATTTATTTTTAATACTAGACTGGAACCAATATGAAACCTTTCAAATACTTTTTCCAAACAAATCCCCTTCTTTCCAGTCCCCACACATCAAGGCTTTTTTACTGTCCTCTCTCCATGGTGAGATGTAAAAGAGTGTCTGTCCTAACAGTACAGCATGTGAAACCTCATTTAATCTGATAAATCTCAGAAATATTTTGGCTTCGATGGAGCGTAGTATTTAGACAAAATGTAATTTAGTCAAAAGTACTTTAACCACCATGCCAGTGATCCTTCAGCATTCACAAAATCAGACTCACATGAGTGAAAATGTTAATTGGATTTTTTGTTTCCCTTCAGCTAAATCCCAAATTAAAAATTGCTAAACCCTATTCATTGCTACACAGCAATGGGTTTCTGAGCTGAGGGACTGGATTTCTGAAGGCTGAGAGCCTTGTTCTGGGTTCTCATGGTTTCTCAGAGAAGGAGTAACAGGAGCTGCCACCCAGCCTTACACTAGAGCTTCTTAAAAACAATTATGAAATTTTCAAACTCACAGCCTGAGTATAGATTTTGTTAAAGAGTACACTCCTAAAAAATTAATGAGGGCTTAATGATTAATGGATACTTAATAAATGATTAAGAGTTTATTGTGGAGTCCCAGCAAGTCAGCTGTGTGCTTATGACTCTTCTGAAGTGTTTATAGACTTTTTAACAAATACTGCTTATGTCTTCACTATTTTTGTGTCATAAGTACATCTAAACTGTTTGCAGCTCTGTTTTTAGTGTAAAGTACAGACCAAAGTTTGGAAGTATTAATTTGATTCTGGAATGTGCCCAAACTTAATTATGTCTGTGTTTTATAATGTCTCCCTTATCTACCTCTTAGCAGCTGTTCATGTTAGAGAGAAGAACTAGAAAACCTGATCCTTGTATAGCATCTCATTGAAGTATTAGAAAGACCTCATCAGTACAAATGTCATAAACCACAATATTCTCTTGCCACACCAAAGCACTGAACTGTTGCTGGGGCACCCAACAGAGGGGCAGTAAGAAAGATGTGAATCTATTGGAGCAAGTCCAGAAGATGAAGATGAGCAGGGGGCTGGAGCACATTCCCTGTGGAGACAGGCTGAGAGAGCTGGGGTTGTCAGCCTGCAGAAGACAACTCTTCAGGAAGATCTTACAGCACCTTCCACAACCTACAGGGGCTGCAGGAGAGGTGGGGAGAGGGAATTTAACAAGGGCATGGAGTGATGGAACAAGGGGTAATAGCTCTAAACTGAAAGAGAGTAGATTTAGATTAGATATTAGGAAGAAACCCATTACTGTGAGGGTGCTGAGGCCCTGGCACAGGTTACTCAGAGAAGCTGTGGATGCCCCATCCCTGGAGATCTTGAAGCCCAGGCTGGAGGGGACCTTGAGCAACCTGGTCTAGTGACAGGTGTCCCTGCCCCAGACAGGTGGGTTGGAACTAGAGAATCTTTAAGATGTTTTTCAACCCAAACTATTCTGTGAATCTGTGATGGTTCTATGAACCAAACCTCTGACCACATGAGGCATCACTGTAATATATTCAGACTTGTGGCTGTCATGCAGCTGATGAGGAATGCTGTTCATATCCTGAAGGGTTTGTTTTCAGACTTTTTGGACTCACTTGGATCTTGTAATTTCACCTGACCACCAAGGACACTTCTCATGCAACTCTGAACCTAACCCTGTTGTTAACCATATTATGTCCATTCTGTAGAAGAGTCCTTCCTAAAAAATTCAGACTTTTGAATCTATAAGGAAAATTTATTTCTTCTCTTGAATCTCTAAGGAAAAATTAATTCTTCATATTCTTTTGTAGGCAGTGCCAGCCTTGAAAACCTCCCTGCTACCCTTCCCTTAGCTCCTCTGTCTGGCCAGTGAGCAGTGACCTCCAGCCTGTTGCCTAAAATTAAGATGTCTGCTTCAGCATGGTGTCCATGACAGATAGGCAGATAAGCTAATTTTCTGTAAAGGGAACTTCTTGACTGTAAAGTGAAGTTTTTGATTAGGTGTTTTCTCTTTCAGCCATCAGTTCAAATTTTTGAAATTCTCTCCCTCCCTCTCTTCTTCCTTCTCTCTGTCCCTGTTCTTCCTTTGTCTTACCTCTGCTACCATGATTTGTGCCCTTGACTATCTTCCCAGTAAGATATTTGGGTTAATTTCCATCAAATGCTTAATATCTCTTCATGTATTCATTATAAGTCATTACACAAACTTGTCATGTACAGTGAGCAGTCTTCGTCTATTCATTGTTTCTTGACAGATTTTAGCTGTGGAGTTTTTAGCTCTATCTCAAGATTAATTTTCCCTTGGTTTTGAGGCTCCTTCCGTTCTCATGGCTGATTCATGACCTATATTACTATTTGCTAGAGCTAAGTGGCGTAGCTAGGAGACAAACAGAGAAACACTGTCATTGTTTTGTTGTATTCATTTCAGAATGTCTTAGGTAGCCAAATTTTGCATCAGAAGCTTAAATTCTATTAAAATGTTACTAGATATTTTAGAGACCCGGTATTAAATAACACTTTGCATACTTTTCTCTTTTCCTGTTTCCAAGCAATATGATCCTTTTTATGCACTTAAGAGCTTATTCAACTTTATTCCAAAATGCTTTTGCTTACACACCACTGTAAACATCTATAGATTCTAAACGACAATTTGTAAATCCTTTTTTTAAAAGAAGTACCATGATGAGAAACTTCTAGAAGAAGGCAAGCAACAGCCTGCAAAGAGAAAATGTAGTGAAATACAGAATCAGGTCACTTATATTTATGGCATAGGTAGGATTCCAGGAGATAAGACAAATATCTTTTGCAATAAGGAAACCAGACTAAACAGAAAACATGTAAAATGCACTTTGTATTCTATATCAGTTAAGCACTGTGCTTGATGCCATGGTGACACTGAATCTTGGTAGTATTCTGTTGTGAAATAACATGCATCATTTTTTAACAGCTCAGATACTGACCACTGCAACTTTTGAGAAGGTGAGAAATTATTTTAACGTGGACATTGTTTTAAGATGGCTGAGGTGTCTGGAGGCTTCTCTGTGGAAAACCTGACACTTGAATAATCAGAGAGTGAGAAGAACAGATGTGTTGGAGGTCAGGGCAATCAAGAAGTTCATCTGATCAATACTTGCTTGTCTGCAAATCAGAAGGAAGTATCAGTGAGTGCTGAGTTAGTGTTTCATATAGGTGTCCACTTGTTAGGACTGAAATCCTAAAACTTCAGTGTTCTGCTTGGGAGAGGGGCAAAAACTCTGCCCTAGAGCTTATATGCATCAGAGAAGGAGTATGTCACATGCTTGGGCCCAAGAAGAAGGAAATGATACTGCCTCAGTGTGCAGGGCCATTAGCCACCTAAATCGTGGGTGTAAAACAGGAGCTGAATTCCTGCCTTTGGACTGAAGTGGGGCCCGTTCCTAGCTTACACTGTGCTGATCCCCTGCACAGTGCTGCCTCCTCAGATGTTGAGCTTTGAGTGTGGCGTATTGGGGCCCCTGTGGTGTCTCATTAAATGCCTGCAATGCAGATATCTGCTTTTTGACTAAGATGTTTGAGATCACAGAACAGTCAATGTAAAAGAGCATCACATTTTCCAAGTGAAAATTAGCAGTGACGTAAGTGCTCACCTAAGTGAGCTCTAAAGCAGCAGCCGTGCTGTTAAGGTTGTCTTCAGTACAGTTTGATTTGTTGTTGTTTTACCTCTGTTCTGTAGAGTCCATTCATGATTAAAACATGGTAGTTAAGTGGGCATTGTCCCGTGGCAGAGAGCAAACAGTTTCTAAGGCTATTTATTGTGCAGGCTGTCAGAAAGGGAGCATCTTGGTGAAAAAATTATAAATTAGTTGTTCTAGTTGTCTTACCTTCTGCTTTCTAGGTCATATCAGGAACACAGACATTTCATTGCACCTTTGTGAGAAAGAAAATCCATTGAAGTTCTTCCAGTTCTGATCTTGTCTGTTCTGATACAGAATACTAATTTTTGAGTATCGAATTTTTTGGTTCATTTGTATACAGGCAATTCAGGTATGCAATTTCTAGTTTGGTAGCATTCTAGTATATCTGCAGTAGTTATGCTCAGGTTTTGCTGCTGTCCTGACTGATTCTGTATCATGCTAAGGATACTTTTCATTTCTCAAGAAAACCTGTACCTGACTAGAATTTACTCCAAACTGATGCCTAAGACTCTTTGAATCATGTTTTGCTTTTTATCAGTAGTGATTTTGAAAGAAGAGCAAAGAGAAATTGAGAAGGTTGAGAAGACAGAAATGTTTAATGTTGCAAATTTGCAGGGAAGAAGGTGAATATAAACATTAATTTCCCCTTCTGCATCATCATAAAAACATAGGGTTGAACCCCTGCCTTGTGTAGACAGTGCTGATTGGGCTTTAGGGCTTGCAGCAGGTATGGACTCATGCCAGACTCTCGTATTAATGGATCACATCAAATGTGCTGATCTATAGGGCACATGAGAGTTAAGGGTCATCATCATGTCACATGTCTGGGATCAGAATATATTTTCAAGGAGAGATTTTACAATAGTGGGTTATTCATAACCATCTTGTTCCTGATTTCCTGCAGTTCTAAAAGTGTTGTCACGGAGAAGGCAGGCAGCATCTTCAGATTATCCCATTAATAATATTAATGTGATAGAATTTGATACATATGCATTGTTCTCATGTTTGTGGTAGCCAGTCAACAATAAATAATTACTGGCAATCTTGTTTAACAAAAGCTCTGTCTGTAATACACCTGCAAGTGGTGACTTCCAACATCTTGGTTTTAGTTCAGGGTTTGGCTTGGAGTGTTTGTGAATAAAAAAAGAGTTTTAGAAAAGAAGCCAAAAAATCTTAATGGTTTTCCTATGGAGGAGACAAATGGCATCTTCTGTGGTGTTTTTAAGAGCAGATTTAAAAGGAAAGTGATTAAAAATGTAAAAGAATATGAACAAGGAAACTGGATACATGTGTGAGCTGCCTCCCTCTTCTGCTTACAGCCCAGGCCTGTTCACTCCTTTAGATTAGCAGAGAGATATGCAGAAAGCATACAGCACTACACATTTGAGAGGTAAAATAATTAATTTCCCTTATTTTACAATAGTTCTCAGTTGTGTAATCCTCCCTTTTGGCATGAAATGTAAAGGCAGAGTTTCAGTCTTTATCATCCTGTGAGCAATAGTTCCCTGTCTTTGTCATTAAAAACATACCAATGGAATAGTATTTCTTTGTTATGCACATATATCATTGAGTTTTCACAACCACATGGCTGCTGCACTACCATTACTCCTTTAACCAGGGAAAAGTTCATTTTGACATTTAGATCATGTGCTGTGACAGGATAGTTTTTAATGTATGCCCATATAGGTGTCTTTTGCTTTTTCTTTGTTTCATATTAACACTGCCTTGAATGCCTGTATTTTCACTTTATTAAATGCATGTGTGTAAAAGTCTCTCTCTTCTCTTGGACCTCTCTGAAGCCAGTGCTAAAATCTGTAGGTCCTCTCTCCTCTCTAACGGGCCCTGCTGAAGCTGTGGGGGGTGCCAGTCTGCTCACTGGGGTCAGAGCCCTCTCCGGGGGAAGCAGAGGAGCAGTGCTGATTGCGCCGTGCAGCCGCTTGATCCGGTGGCAAACATGGGCCCTGGGCTCTGTTTACAGTCTGAATGTCTCCCCTTTCAGAGCTGTCGGATTAAATACAGTGCCACAGCAGTGTTCCTCCCCTTGTGTGACTAGAGGGCAAGAACCTGGGATCTGCCAGTGAACTCAGACTTCCTGTATGATTATGGAAAGTACTGCGCCAATTAAGCCACTGTACCAGCCCCTGTGCCCCCTAATTAATTTCCTTTCTACTTGTTTCTGAGCTGCTGTACTTCAGATTCTGTCCTTTATAAGTTTTTTAAGATTTATGTTAGCTGGAAGAACTTGCCTGAGGCTGAACAGTCATTTAAAATAGCTAGAAATAGATTTTATTTCTACAGGAGAAATGTGTTCTAAGCATAGAATTATGAATCAATAAAAACAGATAATTTGGAGCTGCTGTGGGGTTTTGAATTCATGGGGTTACTCCGTTAAATGCCACTTGAGTGACTAATTTGCAATAGGAATTGGTATATGGGTGTTTTCTTAAGTGAAAATCTTTGTTATTAGTCATTCATCTATTTAATATGCCAATGGATCATTTAAAGTAAGTTTCCTAAATTATCAAACTAAAACAGTCTTGTCAGTCTTTGTTTGTTTGTGGTAATTGTAGTTACCTACAATTTTGTGACAGGTTTTGTTAGGCTAGTTAAGCTTGTGTAGGCATGTATGTGTGTAAGTGACCTGTGAAAACAGGTGTTCAATAAGTGTGGCTACAAGGAGCCAAGAGGCCTTAGTTTTGGGTAATCCCAGTGGGAGTTGAGGATGTCTCTTAAGAGATCTCTGCAAAGCAAACTGTATCCTGACAGCCATTTGTTTGCATGGATATTAATAGGATTTTCAAGCACGTACCCATGCCAACATCTTTGCTTTGTTTAGTGAAGTATAAGGCTTTGAAAATCCATTAAAATTTGCCTTAATCTCTTTTCACCCTAGAAGAGTCTGACACTTTGAACAAAACCTCTCCAGTTAATTTTCCTGAATTTTCCTGTTGCATTTACTTCCTCGTGTTCTCCAGTGGCAGTCGTGAGAGCTGTAGCTGACCCTTGGCATTAGTTTCCTACTCCAGGGAGATAGGACAGATCCTGTGTTTGCCAGATTTTTATAATGAATGCTTTGAGGACCTGGAGGACTGTTTCCTAGGTCACCTAGTCCCTCCCTCCTTGTGAAGGAGGGACTGTTGTCTTTCGGGAGCTGAATCGGTGGTTTGTGTTCATTTTAGTTTGGAACAAGCATTCCAAGTGGGAAGACTAATGCAGAAGACTTTAGTTCTGATGTTTGGCACTGGCAAACTCAATTTCATGAGTTGTTTGTCTTTTCTAGGTACAGGCAGTGGGTCCCTCTCCCATGCTCTCATCCGGACGGTGGCTCCCACCGGGCACCTGTACACAGTGGAGTTCCACCAACAAAGGGCCGAGAAGGCGCGGGAGGAGTTTCGGGAGCACGGGGTGGAGCACCTGGTCACTGTGACCAACCAGGATGTCTGCAAAAATGGCTTTGGAGTCTCAAACATTGCAGATGCTGTGTTCCTAGATATTCCATCTCCATGGGAAGCCATAGGACATGCAAAGTCAGCATTAAAAGCTGAAGGTAACTGCATTTTTCTCTCTCTGTTCGGGAAGCACTGTGCACATATCTCTGCCTTTGGGCCATACACTAGATGTGCTCCCTTACCTTGTGTGATCACTGTTCTCAAATGTCAGTCTCCAGGCATTTCTAAGGCTGTGAAACCTTCAAAGGGCATCTTCAATTTGCTGTGGAAGATTTGAAAGGAGAAGAACAATTTTTTCCTGCAGGCCCAGGGAAGCTGCTACAATTTGCATGGGCAGTTTGTAAAATCTCCTTTGAACCATTCTCAAGTGCATTTTGCTAGATCTGAGGTGTGTGGGAAGCAGAAGTAACAATAAATGCTGAAAGCAAATTTCTTTGGCAGTTCAGTGGAAAGGTGTTTGTATAAAAGGTGTTCAGCCTCAGTTCACATCAATCATTGCAGATTTGTACCCATTTAACAGAGCACCCCAACGGTAAATGTTAAAAAAATGCGGTTACACTTAAATATACTTGCCAGTTTATGTCCTAAATCTTTGGGGTTGGAGCTAGTAAGAAGTTTGCCATTGGATGCAGTGGGAATGGAACATAAAGGATGTTGTAGATTATGCCAGTTACTCTGGGATTGTGACAGCAAGTGAGAACTGATGTTGAAGTTTTGCACAGATTTCATCATACCTCTTTTCCCTATTGAAAAATAAGCTTCAGTGAATAAATGATTCTTTTATCGTGGAATAAGTTTTCCTCTAAGTAATGTCATAATAGTGTGGACCTGAACTAACTTTGGCCAAATTGCTTCCATCTACAAAAGTGACTTCTATAATCAAGAGAGCATGGAGTTCTGAGCAGTGTCCATGCTGGGACATGAGTTAAAAAAACTTGATTATGTGCCAAGGCCCAGTTCTTTGTTAAAATACATAATCACAGGCTGGACTTCAACTGAATTGCTAAGTCTTCTTGAAATCATAGGATTTAAGCTTGTTCTTAAAGGTCAGTGAACGTGCACTGCCTTGCTGAGTCAGGACCAGCCCTGCTGTTGGGCTACTTCAGCTACTACTGAAAATTTTCTAGAAAGCTTTGTGATACCCACGTAACACACTTTCTTTAAAAAGTGAATAAATAGAGGGAGCCTTGTTAGCACTCTGTACCTTCAGTGGTTACAGCTCAATTTGTAGCAGCTTTCCAGTGTGTCCTGGGAAGGAAAAAAAATCACTGCACTGTACAATGCCTTCCCATGCTCAAATTATCTAATCTAGTCAGCACAACACTCAGCTGACTTCCCAGCTTAGAAGGCGCTGCATTGCGCAGTCCAATTTGAATTATTTAAGTGGTGCATGCTTAGAATACTAAGCAGGGCTGCTTGAACAGTTCCAAGTTTTGAATCCTTGTCTCACTCCAGCATTTGAAATCCTAGAAAATGTATTACAGTCCCAAACCGGCCATACCATCTGGCTATGCTTTTCTGTGCTATGCTACAAGGTTACATCTGCTTAGGCAATATAAATAAGACTTCAAAATCCCACATTTCTGTGTTTGTGAAGTGGCATCATTCACTTTATGAGCCACTCAAAAGGCAAAATTGCTGATCCTTGCTGCAGTTTTTGCTGCAACCAGCCTCCCATGTCTGAGATCTGGTGCTGGTCTAAGGCTCCTCTTTTGGGCAACTTGATACCCCACTGACTGGAGGCATTTTTAAAATTTTGCTCTTTTACATGTAAACAAAAACTGGTTTTCATATAAAATATAATTGATTGTAGTAGTAATATGTAAAAACGTACACATTTTTCTGTTTTATTCTGAGTCATGCAGGTGGTTTTGTTGTGGTTTTTTTACTGCTGTTAAATCTAAAATATTGCAGAAGGTTATCTGTAACTGCTTCCGTTTCCCTACCACAGGCAGATAATTTAATAGTGCTCCTTTGTTTTGTTTTCAAAGAGTTAAACCTCTTCTGCAGTACAGCCTGTGCACATTCTGCTGTTATTCAACCCCTTTCCAGGGTCCTTGTTGTGATAAAGCATCACTGCAGGAAATGAGTTCCACTCTTTTCTGTCCACGCCCTCTCTCTCAGATCTGGACGGGTCACATTTGAACCATTCACACTGTGGGTTTTGTTGTGATGTGCCATGCAAATATCACAGCTGTACTGCCTGGTAGTGGTAATTTAGTCCCTAAAGTCTTAGTGTATTTTGAATTAAATTAGAACTAAACAAATTCGATATATAGCATTAGCTACCCTTCTCCTTAAAACCTCAATATTCATGAGTTCAGCTGAAACAGTATGGGAGAGTTCTCAACCTTAACAAAACCTAATCAGATCGCTATTTTCTCTCCTACTTCAGCTCAAGGTCCTGAATAGTTGCCACTCCTGGTAGGCTGAGTGTTAATGATCCTCTTTACAGAGTACAGTTATTACTCACGTTATGCCTTGCAGTATGCTGTAAATACACTACTTAGAGCAGCTTGGCCTCCCATTTAAAGCACTGCCAGCCTCTGAAGAGCTGAAAGAATAAAATGTCATAGTACGTTTGTGACTAGAAGGTTCTTGTTCTCTGGTGATGCTCTCTGCCGACGTTCACGTTTGCCTCTCAGCTGCATCCTTTTGTGCTGATATCACCAGTCACACTTCCAGCAGAAACGCTGCTTGTAGCATCTCTGAGGCACTGCTGCACTGCAGAACTTCCTTTCATTTCCACACTTGCACTGTTTTTCTTCTGCAGCATCTGCTGATTAATGCTTTTCTGTAGTCATAGCTGCGTTCCCAGTATCTGACCTTGGTGGTTTTTGCAATATTGACATTAACCCCTTTAGGCTACATTTTTAAAAACTAAGAAAATGAGAAAATTGTGAGGTAACAGAAATATTCTACAGTTCTTAAATGCCCTGAAACTTTTGACTCACAGTCATTTCACAGCTTAATACTGTAGTGCTTTGGATGTAATTCTGCACCCACCTACTCTACTCTCATAAATACTGTCTATTTCTTCCAAGGCTGTGGAAGTTGAAGGAGAAGCCCACTGCTACAATAATTTTCATACAGATTTTAAATTTTCAGGTAGGGGGATGGAAAATTACAGCTATATATTAGGTTGGATTAGCCTCTTGCATTTTAAGTTGCTCCTTGTGATGTTTAACAGTCTGAGTCACAAAATTATTAAAACCACCTCTCTTTTATTTCCTTTCTTTCTTTAAAGATTTTACTCTTAAATTCAGATTTTCCATTCACTCTTTAGCATCATAAAGCCCCTAAATTACGAGTGTGTCAAATTGTGATCCTTGAAATAACACCTGAATCAGTTAAAATGGTGCTATCAATTCTCCCTCCAAAACTCTGCAGGTAAATTTAACTTTGAACATCTCCGTCTTTGGGCCTCTGCAGTTCCATGTCCATGTAGGAAGCCTCACTGGCTATTTTTCTTCAGCTCCAGAGGTTATTCATGGTCCAAGTTTTAAATCACCCAGGTGTGGCTTTGAGGCGCAGCTTCTGTCCCTCACCATGTGAAGTACTTGGATATTACTGATTCATCCCTAGCTTGGGTCTGTTAGGGCTTGGTAGGTCAGGTGCACACCGTGGACCTGCCCTGAAGTACAAGTGATTCTTTCATGTGTAGAGAATCAAGCAGAAGGATTCCTACATCAAAATCCTCACTGTGGAAGGCCAGCCACTACTGGCTTTTACACAGTTTGAAGGAAGTAGTTTGAGATGAAAGAGTCCTTAAAGAAAGTTGTTAGGTTTTCTTCCCCAGTATGGAGCCAACTGATTTCTTAATTTCTTTGTTACATGCTTTTACCAGCCCATAATAATCAGCAGGAATAAATTCTTTTTGAATCATGCACCTACAAGTGCAGAGGTTAAGGTCACATTTGCAGAAAATCACATCAAGCTCCCTATTAATGAGCTGGCAAGTGATTTGGAGAAAATTCTCTTTTCTGAATCAAGAAACATCCTTTAATTTCTTCCAACAGCCAAATCCTCTAATTTCACTTGTCAGGGAAGCTACATCAAATCGCCCACGAGCACACGCACTTAAAGGACATTCTGTCCCCTTTTGCAGATACAATATTTTTAGTGTCCTACTAGCACAGAGTAAATGCCACAATGATGCTGCTCAGTGACTCTCCTGCCTCACCTCTGCACAATGATAATGCTTGTGTGGTTTTTTTTTCTTCCTTGAGATCTTTGTAGCATTATCTTCCAATTATGACAATGCATTTAACTCCCAAATCCCAAGCTGTGTTCTTTTGCCAGAGGTAAAAATGCTGTAGTGTATTCTTTATGTCACAGAATCATTCTAAAATTACTGGTCCTTTTCCCTAAAACTTAATGGTACTACACTGCATGTGCATCATCTGAATAACGTAGGGATGATGAAAGAACCTGTCAAAGGACTTGTGACACATACAATAACCTACAAAAATGAGAGCACATTTCTTGGACATGTTTTCTCTATCATCAGTACACACTGGAGTTCTTGTCAATTGGTAGCACTGAGGTTTTCCACACTTGAAACCCAATGCACTTATTAGCTAAACATTACTGGTAGAGATGTTAGTCCTTGCTCAGACAAACCAGAAACAAAATTGTTTGTTGGCATTGCACAGGAACATTCTGGCAACTTTCGAGGCACTGGCCTCTTGTAGAGATGCAGTGGTGTGTCCCTCAATTACCAATTAGATACAGTTGGTTGAAATGTACAGTGCTATGTGGATGAAAATCTTCTATTTCCCCCTTCCCTTAAGCTCTCTTTTCTAATCATTCCAGTCTGAATTCTACTTCCATTTTCATGTCCTCTCGACCCTGTTGCTGCTTACAATGACTGCCAGGACTGTGTGGGCTTCTTCCAGGCTATGGATTCAGGACATTTAACCTCTTCATTAATGTTTCAAACTAACTCGTTCCCGTAAAACTGAAGGTAGAAAAAAACTTAAGTCTTTCATACCATCTCATTATTCTCTTCTCCTCAACTGTAGCACTTGTCAGATGCATTATACATGAATAAACACATTTTTAGACAGCTCTTCAGATCAAAAAGCTCACACAGCTTCCCAATGTGAGCAGGATTAATCTCTCATAATTACTATATCAATTTATGATGACACACAGATCTCATTAACCAAATTTTAGGAACGGTAGCTTTCCTAAAAGGAGAGCTCTGAAAGAGCACAAACCCAGTTTGTACAAAAAACTTTCCATTCAGATGTTTTCACTGCTCTCTAGTCTAGTCCACTCCTTTGTGATCCACAGACAGAGCAATGTGCCCCAGGAGGAGAGGAGAGGGAGGGAGCTCGTGTCTTTTCTTCATTCACTAAGGAATCCTTGGCATGGCAAGACAAAGCAATGCATATTCAAGTCCCTTAAGCCCTAAAAGCCTCTTGGTGTCTAAAGGACAAGAGGGCTCTCAAAGAGTCTGAGAACTCTGAATGCTGAAATCTAGATTTATATCTTTTTGATGATTGTGACAGAAGGGGTGTTGCCTAGCTGGTAGTCCAGCCGGGTACAGAGGGCAGCCCACAGTGTGCAGGATTCAGAAGCATCTGCTCTCTTAAACATGACAGTGTCTCTGCTCCTGGGACAGATGACCGTGTCCTTCTGAGTACTGGTTTTCTGCTTTTTTTATTTTGCAGGTCTAAACACGCCATAGGAATTGAAACTTCCCAAATGTTTCTATTTTAGACAGCCTCTCAGAGTCTAGAACTGCAATTTCACTTTTGCCTTCCAGCCTTTTGGTAATTGTAGGTTCCCAAACTTTGCCCGTAAGATCTGCTTAATCAAGTAATTGCAGCCTGTAACTGCAAGTCAGATCTGGCCTGCCTGATGGAACAGGAAAAAGCAGAGAGGACCCCTCTCCCACTTGTTAGGATCTGTAAGGACAGATGCTTGATGGGTTTGCTTCTAAGCCCTTTGTAGGTATATTTATTTGGGAGGGATGTATAAAAATAACGAGAACAATAGGCATGAAAGGGCAAAACAAAATTGACAGAACTGTTAAAACCCATTGGATGGTCTCAGTTAGATGGAATACCAGCAGTTCTCATCTTTCACACCTGAGAAACTTCCAGCAGTGCAGGAAGTAAAGTAACATTATTTTTTATGCTTGCTCTCTGGATATTTGCTACTGCAAACAAGAGCTTTCCTCCTTGCCAAACGGCTTGAAAGCCTGTTTTCTGTAACCCTACTTCCCCCAGCAGTTGTGAGGAGGCAGCCTGATAAATCTTCACCAAGTTTGGTGTTGACATGCTGTGCTCAGCTGACCAGCCCCAGGCAAGAGGAAGGGTGCTCTGCCTTTAATTGAAGGCTTGACAAGAACCGTAGGTGGTTTTGCTTGTATGGCAGCAGCTGTGTGCAGGCTTTGAGTTTTTGACTCTAAATCCAGAGCATGTGAATGCAAAAGCCTAAACATATCTTCAAGCCCTTAGAGTCAGAACAAATAAGAACAGACTTACTGTAAATGTAAATATATTTTGCTTTTTTTATTGCAATATAAAACCTCAAAACCAAAAAGCCTGAATGAAGTAGTAGTCTCTGGTCTCTCGGCAGATCCTTGCTTTGCAGACAAAGAATTATTGTGAACTGACATTTAGTTAAATCAGACATTTGTTCAGTTCCCTACACAGTAAGAATATAAGTTCTTTCTTTGTAACATGCGTGCATCATAGTAGCTTTCTAATTATGTAACAGATTTTTTTTCCTGACCTTTTCTGTTTTACATCTGCAAGCATGGTAGAAGTGTGTAAGTTCTTTGGCCAGAAAAGATTAGCTGTCAGATTCAGGAACATTTTGGTAGTGCTGGCCATCCTGATGAACATGCAAATCTAATTTCATGGGAGTTAATGGACTGGGCATGCAATTAATTTAGCATCAACAGACTTGGTTTATAAAGACACATACCAGCATTAATTTTGCAGGTGATTATTAGTTTTAATTGTCACTCCAGGGAATTACTTGTCCAGGGTACTTTGTTCTGAAGATTCACGATAAGAACCCCTTGGTTCGGAGACTTTATTTGAGGACTAAAATTAAATCTTAGCGTATGGTGGATTAATGGTTGTGGAAAGTGTTCTTCCCCAGGCAGTACCCAGCACATCACTGCTGCACAGTAACTAGAGAGCTACAGTGACGCTTTCAGACCCGATGCTTTCTTTTTTTAGAGATCTGACTTTAAAAACGAAAAAGGAAAAAAAAGGGGGAGTTTGAGATAAAGCAGGCTTCATGTAGTCCCAGAATTGCCTCTATTTTTAGCAGGATGCTTTGCTCTGGGTTGCACGGGTTCTTTAACTACTTAGATGACTGGTATTGGAAGGTTTGGCTGGAGCCCGGGAGAGGACTGGGAAGGAATGCAAATCAGGTCAGCAGGCATTTTCATCTAATTGTAGTAAATGAAACAATAGCTGAAGCTGCATTGCCCAGTGTTCCTTCCTCCTGCACAAAAGCTTTTCAGGAAGGGCAGTTGCCTTGAGGGACGCTGTGTCCTGGGTGAAAGCACATGCCCTGGCTTTATGGCAGACAGTGTCCTTATAATTCTTTGATCTGATTTGGCTGTGGCTTTTCAGAGTAAATCTGAATCGCTCTATTCTCAGCTGTTAAGGTGACATTGTAGCACTTAGAGAGGTGTAGAGGGCCTATTAATACTCCATATTAAGAATCAAAAATCAGAACTGTGCAGAGACAAGGAGGCAAGTGTTAGTTTGTCACTTAGAAGTCCTGTCCTAGAGCTTTACAGCATTTACTGTAAGCCTGCACAATGTGATATCTAGTAAACTTCAATGCTCAGGAGACATGCTAGTCAGCTTGACTAAAAGGGTAAAGCCTTAACAGCACTCCATCTATGGCCTGGAGAGATCCCTTTATTCTGTCCACGCATGCCATCGTCCTCAACTAAACACAGCCGCTTTTGTCAGGGGCGTGTGCAGGCGCGCTGGGCTCCAGCGCTGTGCAGCGTGTGGAGAATGACTTCTGCCTTTGTGTACGTGCCAGCTGCAGTTTGGTGCCTCAGTCCAGAGCAGTGGAGAGTGATTCCAAAAGAGTCGCTGCTCTGAAGGGATCAACTTCAACAGTTTTGCTGTGAACAAATGTCGAGGGCAGCACTGGATGTGCAAGATGAATGAAGTTGCTGTTGTTGTTTTTAAAGTGTCTGAAGCATCCTGTAGAGTTGTCCGTAATAGATTTTTGTGCTGACACTTTAAACCAACAAAGTTGCCTTGTGAAGATTTTCTTGAAGAATGTTTTCACTTTGTCTGTATAATAGTAATTCTATGGGGATCTGGGAGAATTTGAAAAAAAAAGATGAAAAGTGCTTCATTTTTGCTTTTACCCTGTTTTCCACTACCTGTCTTATTTTGCAGGTGGCCGCATCTGCTCTTTCTCCCCCTGCATTGAACAAGTTCAAAGAACCTGCCTAGCGATGGAAGAATATGGTTTTACAGAGATTAACACCTTGGAAATTCTGCTCCGAGTGTACAATGTAAGGACAATTAGCTTGCAAATCCCTGACCTTGGTAAAGCAGCTGAGGATAATTCTAGCACTGCCTTTGACAGCAGCAGCCCATCAGACCAAGGTAGCCCGTGTGCTAATCTGCAGCAAGGGACTGTGCAGTTCAAGAGTGGCGTGCCACTGAGGGAGGTGGTTGGGCACACTGGGTACCTGACCTTTGCCACCAAGAGCCTGGTGTAGTACATGGCCAGTTCATGCAGTCTGGAGTGGAGTTTGTGTGCATTCTGTTTTCGTGGCTCTTTTTTGTATGGCATCCAAAGTTTTACTTGTCAGGGAATTCCATATATAGTCAGATTTGGTTGGAATATGCTTTGTTTAAATAGCACACAAGCATTAAGCAGGGCAGCATCAAGGGAATGTTGAAACTCTGGAATGGTGCTCCACTTGCTGTCAGAAAGAAGATAAATTAATAGCGAATGGCCATTTGCTGGAATGTGCAGAATTAAGATCACTCATAAAAAAGCAAAACAAACAACAGACAAATTACAAAAAAATTGGATTTTTTCCTTCTTTTTTCTGAATTATTTTCCCAGGTTTATGTTTTTATCTTTTCCTAGCACCACTGGACACTATTTTTTTAACTTCTCTAGTATCTGTGTTGCTCTGAAGAATGTGAAAGTGCCTACTTCCTCCATTTTAGATAAGAAAGGTCCAAGATTATAGGATTGCCAGGACAACTATTCACAGAATCAGTGTTTCCTTGGAGTAGTGTTCCAGAGGATTATTGGCAGCACTCAGGAATACAACCTCTTACTCCATTCCAGGCTGGTATCTGCAAATCATTTTGAACACACAGAGGCCAAAGAAGTGTGGTAATTGTTGGATTTAATTTAAATTGGTATATTGTGCTCATCAGTTTGTAGTAGAAATTCGGATCTGGATCCATACAGTCATGTTCTAATGGAACAACCACTTGCATAGTTGATGATTCCACTCTGAAAATTAACTGAACAGCTGGCTAATATTATCTGAGCACCTCTTTGTAAGTGGTGTGGATGAGGTTCCAGTTGTTTGGTGGTTTATTTCCATTATGGTGTATTGTTTTCCTGGAGCTGAATGACAGAAAGATTGCTTTTGGCAGGATTTCTGTCTCCAAATTACATCAATAATGCAAACTTAGTAAAATCCTTAACCAGCCTTATTAATTAAGTTTTCAGATAATTTACTCTTTGGTCTTCCATACAGAGCTGGTGGGTGTGATGAACTGTTTGAATGCTGGATTACATTTTGTATTTAAAGATTAAAATAATCATGCAAATTTATTAAGTTCCTTTTATTTTTTCTTATTTTATTTTTAACAATAAGTTCACAGATATTCCTATTCCAGCCACTAGTGCTGCCACTCAAAGCATTTAGCTGTGCCTTGCATTCGGTACCTGAGCATATCAATTGCTGTGCAAGAGAAACAGCCATTCATAAACTGCTGCCTGAACATTTAACCTGATATCCCTCCCCCATTCTTGACAAAAATAAACAAAGCTAAGCTTTTAACGTGTTACAGCAGAACGCTAATCCATAACGGTTTAAGGAGAGCTCAACCGATCACGACTGCACAGATAAACTGTTGAGCAGATTAAAGGCAGAAAGCAATTCTGTTCAGCTAAATCAGTTATGTAAGTTGGCCTACAACTGCAGCATTTCCCCAGAAATTATGGGAAAGTTCCTTTTCTGATGCTGTTCATGTTCTCCAGGCTGTGCAGTAAGATGCTGATGCTGTGTGTGAGGTTTGGTGGCTGTGTTAGAATATGTGTGTGTGTGTTTGTTTGTGTGTGCACATGTTAGTGGGTTCTGGGATCACCACCAAGCAGCACAGCACAGCTACTGACAGACTCCAGAAGAAACAACAGGGAATTACAACAACCACAAGGTTCTTCACTTTTTTCAAGGTGATCCTCATTCAATAACAAGGGGGATCCCTAAGCTTCTCCAGGGATAATTCCAGCCCCAAACTTGATTGTTTTTCCAGACCTTATTTTAAAGTAATGTAACATTTAAACAGGGGTAAAAAGGAACAAAGTCACATTCCTGTACTACAAATAGATATGGAATGGAAATACCAATGTGTCTTCCTGGAGTTTGAAACAAGGCTAATGCCTTTTTGCCTGCAAAGCCAATTCAAAACCCCCTGAAATAAACCATTGACTTTGCTTTGTCCCTTATTGATTTGATCTCTTCTGAGGAAGGGCAAGCATTGCATAAGAAGAGAAGGATTTCATTTCTGTCTTTGCAATATTAAAAAGGCTTCTGTGTTTTTGTTCTGGTGGCAGCCATAGCCAGTAGCACTGCACCACTTCCTGCTGTTGCTTTGTTGTCAGGGTCACAGGGAGGATCCCACACTGTCCAGAGTGGACAGTACTGTGCTGCTAGGCCCCCCACTGTTTAATGCTGCCTATGGTCACCTGGGTTCTACATTCTGGCTGCACTCCCTGCCAAAAGTAGTAGTCAGAAAGATGGGTCTTCCCCTCCACGATGGGGGGATCTGCCTGGGCCATACTTTTACAGACTCATTTCTCTTTTAAATACATTTATTCTCCAGTATGGAACAAAACACTTCTTCCTGCCCTGGTGCAGTTCAGTCACATGTTCAGGTGCACCTTTTCACTGCTGTCACGAACCAGGATTCCTCAGTCATGGACGAGCACTAGGACACAGCTCTGCACAAGAGCCAGGTCCTGCTGTGCCCTGTGCCCCGCAGGCTGGCGTGGAGAGCAGGCTGTGTGTGACACCTGGCAGCCTACAAGGCACACAGCAGTGACTAACATGAGTGACTAAGAAACACTCAGAGCTCTGCTGCTGTTCACAGTTTACCTGTGCTTTAATTAAAGCATCACAGATCTGTATCTCACTGTGGTTGTTTCTTGCCTACCTGTTAGCACAACACTCTTCTCTGCAGAAGATGATCTGCTTGAGAACCTTAAAGGGATAAAGTGGCAAAATTCTAGGAACTCATTCTTCTTCTTAATTTCCTGCTCTGCCTTCTCCTTAGGTACTTTGGGATACGTGATGGTGAGGAGATGGTTCTTCCTGGGAAGCATTCCAGAGATGAGGGTTCTGGTTCGCACTCACTCCCTTGAGAGTACATCTGTGCTCCATTAGTCCTGGTGAACGGGATGATTGCGGAAGTCATGGTGACCTAGAAAGGAGGGGGCCCAGAGATGCAGTGATGTGTTTGGGAATGAGTGCTCATCCCAGCAGGGTCTGCATCACTTGGGTGGGTGCAGGAGTGCGCTGGGCAGCCTATGTGTTCATGCCTGCCCAGGCTCATTCTGGCCAGAGGCTGGAGAACTGTGCCTTCCTGGGCTGCAGTTCAGGGGTGTCTGGTGGACCCAGCTCACCTCTGTGCCAGTGGGAGCCGTGCAGGCTCAGCAAAGGAAGGTTGTGAAATGGCTGAGCTCTTGGAGGCTGTTGCTGGGCTCCGTCTGGGCTCCTGCTTGCACAAATAGGAGAAAGGCACGATAAGAGCAGAGTGGGAGAGTGAGCATTGCATAACCATGATGTTACACCAAAGGTACGTACAGCTGTGACCAGTCAAAGGGAGGAAGGGGGTTGCTGTAGTACCAGAAAGTGCTGTCTGTGTCGCCATGAGGGAAAGCATTTACGTGCTGCTTGGCCTCTTGAGTGCTCCTGAGGAATGACGTTGTTTAGATGCCAGAAGAGGGGAGCCAGACTGTGTTATTTCCTTTCTCCCTACATGACAGCTTCTGAACTGGAATGAATCTGCATCAGCATCAACACAGGGAACAGAGAAACCTTGAATTAAACAGTGAAATAAAAATAATTCTCACTGGAATCCAACCCTTTACCTGCATGTCTCACCCAGGAGATCTGTGTCCTTTTGGATGCTGTTGTCCTCTGCTGCAGGGCAGCAGCTTTGAACTCTGAGGTAAACTGGATGATATGCTGATAGGAACAACCACAAAGTCCAGCTGGGAACACTGTCCTGTGGGCACTTCACTGTACCTCGTGTTTCCCCTGGCTTCTAAGGTCCACTGCCCGCAGCTGGGCTTCCCCTTGCTGTGAGTGGTCCCTTCACATCATCTCCCTGCTCCTGCCCTCAGACCCAAAGCTGACAGCCTATCAACAGCATGCATCATCCCTTCCTGCTGCTCCAAGCCCACTGAGATTGCACAGCCAGGCTTTGGGCAGAGCATTTTCCTCTCCTCTTTACTGGAGTGCAGGACAAGGGCTGTATTTTGTCACCCCATGAGGACCTGCAGGTACAGCTGAGTGTTCCTGACGAGGCACCCTGCAGAGAGCAGCACATTGGAGCTGCTGAGGACCTCAGCCTGAAGTTATTTCGGTGGGGGCTGAGTGAGTTGATGCTAAATATCGTATTCCTTTATAGTTGTTAAGAGGGCAATTTGCATGAGTGGTTCCAGTGGAGCTGTGGAGCTCTCCCCAGGGGTCCAGATAGCTGCAGGATATGTCAGAGACCAGGACCGAGTGAATTTGGAGCTGCTGCTCCCAGAGGTGCAAGCTGAGTAGTCAAAGCTGCATAAGGAGAAGAAGGAGCCTTTTCCATCTCATTCTGAAAGCTGATCCTGATTCACCATGAAGCCCATGTGCATGACTAGGTCTAGTCAGCTCAGAGAAACTGTTGCTTTAGCAACCTCCCTTTGTGTTAGGCACTGTGCAGGAAGAGGAAGTCTACAGTGGGATTTTCCTCTCTATCACGTTGCTTTGGGAGAGATTGTAGTCCCCACCCCTAACCTGAGTCAAAAATATACCTGCAGTAGTTTTGCCTGCCATATGTCTGCAATTCAGTGTGGCTGGTCCCTGGGCATGTGGAATGAAACTTTTGTTGTCAAAATATTCTGAGCCAGAAGTTTATTCCACTTGAGGGGTGAGGAAGATGATGAAGTTGTAGGCTCTGATACTTTTTACAGTGGTCCCCCATCCCCTTAGAAATTGACCATAAAGTATCCTTTCAGGATAATTAAAATAATCAAGAGCCACCTATTTGTAGGAATCAGCTGGATTCGAGAGAGAAATCTACTTGGACAAAGGGGAAGGAGCAGTAGCAAGGTAGAGAATGATTTCTAGGAGAAAGCTCTTCATTTCCTGGCCTTTTGCAATAAAAAGGCAATTTCTCAGGAAATTCCAGATTCTCCTCTTGAAAGCTGTGGATCAGAAAGGCTCATTAGTGAGGATGTCCGTTCAATTAGGCTGTTTTAACAATGGATGTAGGGTGGGATCTACAGCTGATGGAGTGGAAAGGAGTGAGGGAAAGGGAAAGAACTCTGCAGTCGGCTCAGCCTGTTGGATTACAGGTGCATCATGTCACACTGTTAGAGGAATTCAGTATGGTTCAAATTATGTCAGCAAAATACACAGTATGGTTATGTATTATATGATAAAGAATTACCCATTTCAGGACATTACTGGGCAAGAGCATTGAATTACAGAGAGATTTGATTGCCTATGTTGAAAAATCAGGTTTAACTAAGAAACTAGCTACAATTTCTCCATATTCTCTTGATGTGTTTTTGTGTCCTCTGTCAGATAAGGTGGAAA